GACGGGTGTGTGTGTGGGCCAAACGTGTGGGGTGCCGCGACTCGCCGGTTTTTGACGGTGGAGCTTGGGATGAGGCCCGTCGTCCCGGTGAGGTGTCGTCCCGCGCTGACGAGGAGAGCGGCACCCCGAGGCGACGTGGCCCCGGACGCCGCAGTTATAACACCGCGGGAGCGACGTCGGAGGTGACGAGTGGTCGGAACGGCCTGACCCGTCCTGGCCCGGCCGTGCACTCGTCGCCTGTTGCCGTCGGTGGTCGACGGCGTAGAGTTCCTCCGTCGGAAGGGTGGCTGCAGCCACCGCACGCCCCGCCGATGCCCTGCTGGCTTTGCGTCGAAGCGACAGGAGGTTTGCGTGGAGGAGCCGCGCCGCCTGGAGCGATGTCATTTCCGCGTCCTCCTGTGCGACGACAGCGATGTCTAGATCGTCGGCCAGGAGGAGTATCTTCTCCGTTACCATAGCGTCGATGCCGTCGTCATCCATCCGGGGGAAGGCCGACTTGGCCATCGCCAGGAGGCTCGTTCGGTACGCTAGGGGCGACTCCTTCTCTCCCCGCTTGCGGTCGTAGAACTCCTGTCTGCATTCCGCCGACGGTCCGTAGACCCCTCCCAGCAGCTGCAGCGCCATCGGTAACGTGGAGCGCCTTTCCTTTGGTGCCGATGTTAGGGCGGCAAGCGCGTCGCCGTCCAGGAGCGCCGGCAGGGCGCTGAGAGCTTCTTCGTCCGTCCATTTAGCCATCTCCTGGTGGGCGAGGAAGCGTCTTTGAAAGCCGCTCCAGTCGCCCTCTGCGCCCACGAATTCTTTAAGCGGGGGCAGCCTTTGGTGTAGCGCAGCGGCTGCCGTGGAGTCCCGTGGACTGCTGCCTCCCCGACTCGGCTGCGTCTCGGCGCGAATGGCAGATGGCATCGCCTGTCGCAGCTTTGATGACGCGCCCTCCTCCGTCGTTGATGCAGCAGCCCCAGCGCGGCCGATGTCGGACCCCAGGTTGAGGTTGGCCACGCCCCTAGCGGTCGCTGCGTCGATGGCGGGAATTTCAAAATTTAAATCTTCAGAAATGGCGGGAAGGCGCTCCACACGCCGGTTCCTCTCGCCCCGCGGTGGACCACCAGCCGCCAGCCGTGTGATGTCCCCCAGCGCAGCGGCAGCGGCGTAGAGCAGTTCCGCCAGCCTCTCATGAGCCAGCCTCAGGTCGTCTCCCCGCTGCTCCTCTTCATGGCGATGCTCCGGTAAGCCCGCATCCGGCCCCGGCTGCACGTCGTCTAGTAGAGCCATCTCGGGCTCGGCAATTTCGGCGGCGTCCTCCGCCCGCTGTTCCCTGGCTCGAGCTGTTTGGCGCGTGTCCATGTTCTTGGTTCTTCTGACGCCAGATGAAGTGTTGTTGAAGACGCGTGGACAACGGGGTAAGGCACACGTATTTATTTACACAAAGGGCTTACAGTACTAGAGGGATGTATCGGCCCCCTCACCCGTACAACTGGGAATTCACCCCTAGCTAGCCTTCCTAGCTGAGTCCTCCGCTAACGGGCTAGGGGAGGCTGTCTGGCCCGACACTGGTTAGTCGGGCTACGGTACCCGGAATCCCAGAGGTCTGACTCTGGTTCCGGGACCACGCCACTGGCTCCAGCCTGCACTGCCCTTACAAGGGCGGCGTCCCAGGGGGAGTCCAGGGCCTATCTGGCTGGTCTTCTCTCTTCTCTTAACTACTCTAAGACTGAGCCCCGAGCTCTCTGGCTCAACCCTTTTTATACCCCGTTAGAGGATCGAAACCCCCCTCACGCCGTCCAGTACGGACGTCGTTGCGGGCACCACCCCGTGTGCTCACGGAGACCCCGCCCACTGTGTCTGTTTTCCATTAGCCCCTATGTAAACAGCCCTACACAAACAGACCCTCTGTAACAGCCCTACACATATAACAAATCAAAATAAACTAAACTTATGTGAAAATGTCAAATATGTGAACATGGAGAGAAAGGGATAGCACTACTGTGCACAAATAAGATACTCGAAAAAAAGAAAGTCTAAATTACTTTGAATACAGGGAAAATTCAGTGTGCTTGGAAGTGAATGTATGCAAAATTAAGATTACATGACTGTATTTGAAAATGTCATATTTGTGAACATCTATATTGGAAATTACAGTTATACCATTGCATAAAAATTGCGTTTGGGGTGAGCATTTCATTGGTTGGGATGGATATGTAACCATTAGATATGCGACGTTGTACTGTACGCAGAGAGGTTTCCAGGTCGGAGGCCTGCTACAGCAAACTTGTTCTCAAGATGAAGAGGAGCGATTGTTAATAACTTTCACAGCATTTGCACAGGAAAGCTGTGATTTTCCACGAGGTATTTATAACTCGTGGCTCCTTGAAAAGGGCAGTCTCCGATAGAGCACATCAATAATTCACTCCTGGAGCTACCATCCAACCCGTGGACTCAGACTAGGGGACGGCGTACGGGCAGTGCCACATTGCTGAACGATAACCGCTGCACTCCGCTCGCTAACCCATTCGTGAGCGTACCCCTGCCACTCTACACACGCCTAGGGGGCAGGCGTGAGACGGGGACACTAGTCACAAAGCGATCGCCCACAGTGTGCATCGATGTCATCATGTGTGCGTGCACAACGGCATGTGCCGTATCGTGCATATCAATGAGTTTTCTGGAAATGGGCTGTTGACAATGAAGATTCTTAAGTTTCCATGGCAGCGTCCCAAGAGTCTACGAAGTAGACCAAGTAGGAATTTATGGGAGAAGTGTTCTCAGTTGACCTCATAGTTGACCTAGTTTTTTGGTTGTTCTCATTGTTTTCATCATGTTTTCATCGTGAATACATCATGCATTTTAGTGCACGTGAATTATACCGGCATAAACTATTCAAGGTTAAGTTACTAATTTCCTTCATTAATTCCACATTACAGGGTGGCTTTCCCCCCAATGGGATGTTTCCTTGATGGGAGTTTCTAGCATGTGCGAAGAAGCCACGGAGTGGCAGGAAGTGACACTTAAAGGTTAATGTAGTTGCATAAATTATGTTATTTTAAGCATTCTAATGACTCAATTATGTCAAGTAATAAGTATTGTTTAAATAACGACCTATGCGAATACATTAACCTCTATGTATCATTTCCTACCACTTCTCTGCTCCTTTGTAGATGCTCATTGATGATGTCACGTCCCCTATTTAAAGCCCCAAGGACCGGAGGATATTTTCACAATTCAGGCTCCTGTCGAACAGTGTTGGTTGTAACTATAAGTGAAACATCGCACCCATTTAAATGCTGCACGATTTCTCTCCCTAACACACCGATGTGCTACAGCGGTAATTGACACTTTCGTTCACGGGACAACTTAATTCACCGTCTGTGTCGGATGAAGGAGGGTGTTTATGACGTGCTTTATTTACCCGATCTGACCCCAAAAAAATCTATCTATTTTGAGCCCTTAAATTCGTGCGTTGAGCTTTCAAATGTGACACGAAAGAATACGTGACTATCACAAATTAAACGGCAGTCATATTCACGCTCGTCAAAATGCTGTTGAACGAGTCTGCTAAAATCAATTTAGTTATAAAGAGGCCTTAAAAATACACTGTTAGAGGCACGCCGACTCTTTGCCAACAGAAAAATAAAGCAGTCTATGATAACTGTGACCGGAGCTGGCTTCAACGTCAATCTGTGTGTCACTGCAAAGTAAAACTCCACCAAAAGGCTAAATTTGCGCGTATAAATTGTGCTCAAAACAACCGATAAGTTAACATTATGCCTCGCGCAGGGACTTCGCATTTGATTTAGATGTACAATCAGACCGCCGGCGAGATTGTGCGGAGAATGGGGCCTTATTGATTTTCTTCAGCTCCCACAGAACATAAAGAAGGCTTACAAATTACATCCCTTAATTTGCCCCGTGGGATTCATTGTTTTTCAATAAAGCATCCATTTCAATTTTCTTTCTGCTTCCACATTACATTGATTGGGTTGGCAGCCTTTTCATTGCTCGTGTTTTTGAAGCTGCTGAATATCCCGGCAGACCAGTAAGACTAATCATAATAAAACAGATTAAATGCATTATGCTTAACTTGACGGATCCTGCAACAATTTTTTAGTTTTTGTGCAGTAACAATTATGTCCAGCTCTAAAATTATGTTAGTGTACTACACGGGTAACAAATTCATATCAGAAACATCATTATTGTAAGCAAAGTATGTGGGCTTGAGCAGGACACAATTCATTGGTATTAAAATTGCATGCAAGGTGTTCACTGTGAATACCCTTTGCCCTATCGTCAGTTGTATGCATAGACTCTGCTGCGGAGTGAGATTAACAAAGGCGCAAATGGCAAAGCTAACAACAGCCTTCATCATAATCAGCAGCCACTGTTGATCCACTGCTGGACGAGGGCCTACCCATGATGGATTACGTTCCTACCCTCCCCAGTGACTTTAAGACTTTCTCTGTAAACCTTAATATTTCCTGAATAAAGCCAGCCAGCCAAAGTATCAAGACCTTCCTTTCTTCTCAGTGACAGGAATATACACACTATTTTAATGTACCCATTGCTTAATGTACACGTTCAACTGAAGCAGCAACGATGTACCATATGATTTATTGAGCTGAATTGGCTTCCGGTTGCCGAGCGAAAACATGTCACACTCATTATAAAGAAAAGTGCTAGCAAAAAATTAACCACAATACCTTGCTGATCTCGTCAAGGAGCATAAACCATCACGCAAACTCCAGTTATCCTCACAGTAGCTTTTGACTAACTACCGAATAAAGACGGTCACTGCATCGCGCGCTTTCAGATGCGCTTCTGTGGCCGTCTGGAATGCTCTTCCATCCGATATTAGGAAGCCACTGGAGAGCTATGCCCTTTTACATCTATATTGAAAACTTATTTCTTTAGAACTGCTTTTTGTGTTTAGTTTGTTGTCCTTCCCCCGTACCTCCGATTAGCACGGTTGGCTACGTACGGTGCAAAAGAAGTTCAACATACATACATACCGTGCGTATACCACGGGGGTTTTTCCATTGATGTCCAGAGCCCCAGGGTCTGCGCCGTATCCCACCAGCAGCTCTGCCTGAAGCGTCTGCCCAGCCTTGGCTGCCACGTGGAGAGGAGTGGAGCCCTTATCCTGGCCCAACACATCGCGAGAAAGCAGCAGCAGCATTGAGAGGGCGGGCAACAGAGACTTAACTTTCATACAGATGCAAGCCACGTTTCTCTCCACAGGGACACAAGGTAACAGAACAAATACAAACAGTGCACACGATGATATTGTCGGGTTTTTTTTTACAAAAAGATATGAAAAACCTGATAAATAAGTGTTAGATATGGTATACATACTATATTACTGTTTAATGACGTTTCCATTTTGAGCAGATGTCTGCCCACACCAGTGGCCCACTTACAGTTTATCTTCCACTTCCTATCACTGCCCAGAGCCATAAATCCACCGTACGGCACTTTGGTACATGGCCAAACGCATGCCATTCCTCGTGGCCTCAAGAACAACGTGAGATGGGCACGGCACGACGAGGCATGTAACGATACGTCAACTGCCAACATTACAAATCATCATCCTCACCAGTCGTAATCTACCCACTGCTGGACGAAGACCCCCTTCCCAAGCTTTCAACATCTTCTACGGTTCATACGATGCAACTATCTATTTAGCTCCTGCAGCAGACGCAGCGCATCAGCCGGTCAAGTTTTTTTGTTTGTTGTCGGCGAGGTTACTGCGATTGTGCCGTGTGGCTCCGGTGAGTCCTCTGGGTTGTTAGCGCGTGTCGCTCAGCATGACTTCTAGCGTTATGCCCCATGTGCTGGGATCTTCTTCGATAAAAAAAAATCGGCAACCAAACGTCGGATATGGTGATCACGTGCTATTCAAGGAGTCGAGCCCACACGCTGCTAAAACCCAAAAAATACATCGGAGAGCTGGTCACTGGATTATTTATAGTCAGGCAACTCAGTTAGTCCCATTCCTATCATTTTCCAGGGTAGCATGTGTAACCACTTGGGTGGAACCATAATCTCCTCATCTGCCCAAGGCAATATCCTGAAATAATTAATTAAATGACTAAGTACATTTAACTCACCAAGCTTCTCTAACATCATGAAACAGGTTGGCATATGCAATTTTTGCAGCATCAGCAGCAGAAATGTGCCCTTTATGTGCTTTCACTCACAGTCAAAGCAGCCACAGACATAATCCATGTTAACCTACAATGTCAAAATAATGCCCCTGCATTGATTCCCGAGGCCGTACATCAGGAAAACATGACAATGGCATTTCTCTCACTGCATCAACGTAGTGTTACAGTAAAGCTGCCAGAATGGCAGACGATTTACTGCCAAAGGTAATTCATGCATGAGCACCTCAGGTATTATTATTCACCAAACTCTCTAATGTCATCCTCCAAACGCATATAAGAGGCTGCTGAAATTAAAGTGGCAGGAGTGGAACACTGTCCAACACGGTCTAACAGTTAACCGTTTAAAATAATGACAAAGTTTCGTGCTTTCTTCTGCACACTTGATGGGCATGCAGAACATAAGTACAGGATCCAATCACACGATTAAGACACTGCACTTAAACATATGGGCTCGAATTTAAGAAACGCACCAGCTGCTATATAGGTAATTTGCTGGGCACTGGGAAATGAAACAGATACCTTCATCGAGCAGATTTAGAAATCATGATCTACAATGTACAGATGAATAAATCCCCAAGCTGGAAAGCTATACAGATTAATTGTTTTGTCTACATATGTTGCTTATAGCATCAGGTACAAAGATACATTAAGCAAATTACACAAATAGATAGAAGTCGTGTGCAATTCATTACCCAAAGCAAATGAGCATGCAAAAATGTATTTTCCATGAGTGTACCAAAGTATTTCATTGGAATCATCAATTACAAACATAAAACAATAATTTGGGTCAGGAGTTAACGCACAAGTAAATAACATCCTGCAAACCACCACAGATTTCCAAAGCTCATCATCAACGCTTTCCTATGTGTTTTCGGGTTGTACCGCGTGTTGTTTCGGCATGTCTGACGGTTCTCCGTGTGTGCTGGGAACTTCTGCAGGAGCTGAATTTCCAGCAAGTCACAAATGACGCCGAACAATACGCGGCACAACCCGGAAACACATCGGAGAACTGTGCGGAACAACTCTAAAATCCTACGCAGTAGTGCGCTCATTGCCATCATCATCAACATTTATTTAATATCGCACCTTTTACAAAATTTAATGTCCAAAAGCACTGTGCATTTAAAAAGAGAATAAGATTACAACAAAAAACGGTAACAAACCCCCCCCCCCCCCCAATAACTATTGAAATTTGGCATTCCTAAATAATGCACAATTAACACAAATCACTCATCATCCACATTGGCAGCCACTGGGAATGTACAGGCCCAAGTCACGCACTGCAAGTCTCCCATGGGCATTTGGCCACGATGCTCACACAATAGTCGGGCAGCAGCAGCTGGGTCAGGGCCTTCAGTTTAAAGAAAAGGGGTAACGGTAAAGGTGCAGAGCCCTGCAAAAGCTCGCTCACGCTATTGCTGGCGGAAGGGCCTCCCACAAGCGGAAGCTCTAGAGAGCCCTCTAGTCGAAGGTATTTGGCCTACTCTTCCATGCTGGCCAGGCATCTTGGAATAGGTGTATATACCCACACTTTACCCCACCACACGCAACCTGTTGGTAGTTTAACTGCAGCACAGCCATTTATACTGCTGGGTGGGATTAGAGAAATTTGTACATTGTTTCAACTGATAATGCCGGTAGATGGAATCGAATCGGCGACATTTGGATTGCTGGTCCAGTGTGCTAGCCATTATTTTCCGTGGCTGCTCCTCGAGCCGAATAAAACAGATGTCGAATGTATTCCAGCTCACCACGGCGATGTGGCATTCTCACCGTATGGAAGAAGTTTGCATAGGCCCCCAGGGACAGCAGCCGCAGGCTGGTCTCCAGGTTCCCAGTTCGCACACTCGAGTGCAGTTGCTGCAAACGGGGACAAACACAACAAGGTGTGCTCGCCGCGGACGCAGACGCATGCTCCCTGTAGAAGGGCGGGGAGAGGGCGCCGCTGTGCAGCCATAACATCCGTGCAACTTTTTTTAAACTTCCTTTGCAGGCTTCTCAATTTGATAACAATAACAATGACGACGATTTAAATGAATACAAGAGCGGCGTGGCTTTCCTGCAGACGGATTGACTGAACCCTGCAAAAGGAATGTGGCCACCTATGATAACCTGGCGTGCATGCTGGTCATCCATCAAAGTGCTTTCCAGGCTCAACTGCTTTGTTTCCAAGATCCCATGCGATCCAGCACATTCTGGGCAATGATTTGGTCATCGGTACATTCTATCGTACATCTCAAAACCAAGTCACTTAATATCCAGTGTATTTAAGCAACTCTTTAATATATTTCAAACACCCTCCATATTCTTAAAATAATTACAAGAAAAAAACACTTTGGCAATAACAGATGACAATATTGCAGCACAGAAAACTGGATAGGACACATAAGTGATCACGGTGCCTTCCAAGTGTTTAAATATAAACGAGATGTAGGAGATTTCACATAGCTGAAACATTGTGGCATGGATAACACTGCGCATACAGAAGTTTTCACGACACCCTCAGGCCTTTGTTATACCTTGCTGATGTCCTCGGCAGTAACACTCTCGTCATCTCGAGATGAGAAGCGGTGCACGAATGCCAGCAGCTGGTATTTGGCCCGGATGTACTCAGCCTTGGTGGGACTGCAGGGCAGACGCGGACTTTGTCAGACTCCCCACCACCCCGTTGCTAATTCTGCAGTCCAGAACTAGGCACGCGAAGAAAGTAATTCAATTGCACGGAGATGCAATTCATTGTTATGGTTCAGGGTCTCAGTTCAACTCAGGAAGGCATTATTTTTTGTCTAATTTTCCACGTCTGTCTCGTTTGTGTGGCCAATCCAGTTTCTACCGTTTGTCCAATTTGTTCCGTTTCGTTTATGCCATTATGCTACAGATAACACGCATAGCATATATTTTGAACATAACTGCAAGAATGATAAGAAATCTATTCTTACATGCACAATTTCAAACGTATGTTGTGCGTTTAAGAAATTAGCTTCTCAGAAGCTGAACCGGAATCCACAGAACCAAAGACAATGAATATGACTTCTACCTCCCGTTGGTGTACGCGATATAAATTATAAAGAGCATACTTTACCAATGCAGCAGACATCCAGAATATGCTTAGAATACATGTACAAGAATCTTCGCAATTGCTATGGCACTTTGAATTTGGCGTCTATTATCATAAAGAACATTACTTTCTAAAAATACAATTCAGATAGTTAGCAAATATAACAGGAAATTAAAATTTGTATAAAGGAAGTCGTAACTATTTGTGCGGCAATGCCGTCGCAGAAAACAAATGTTTGAATAGGAGTTTTACCTAATATCTGGCAAACAAATTTTATCTGTCACCTACCTGTGAAATATAGCCACAATAATGTATAATATTTAGCCAATGATAGAGTACTAATAATTGCTGATTTTCACAATTCCAAATTTGTATGCGCATTCAAAAGCACGTGGGCCACATGGAAAACTATCCTGCGAGCCTTACGAAGTTGATTCTACTCAACTACATAACCTTGATTCTACTCAACTTCATAACCCTAGTTATAACTTTAAATGTGACTTAAATATGTATGGAACATAACTCAACTGCTATTGTTTTGACCTGTAATGTAATTGTACAATTTAACATTTTGCTAGAAGGCCACACAAGATGTAGCTCATAAATCCGTGCGCACAATAAATGTATCGCTGCTCCTCCATGCCACAAACGCTGCGGGCTGGCGTTCAACATGTGGGATGCAAAATAAAAATGCAATATTAAAAACAGCTGATTTATGGCGACACAGCACATCCGTATGAAACTTCCAGCTGGGCAGCTGCGCCTGAGTGTGTAATCGCTGGCGGCATCTCCTTAGTATCAAATACCTGTCTCTGGCGAGGCTGTGGAGGGAAAAAAATGTGTCGGGCGGGAGGTCGGAGAGGATGGGAGGAAATTGGGTGCATATCTCTAAATTTATAATTTACTCCCAAAAGTGTCGGTCTAGAAAGCCGCCAATTCATCCATCCCTAGGGCAAGGCTCGTCTGACAAGAACGTATCAAGAGCACACACGATTTAACGTGCTGCATGGAGGTGTCATCTATCACCCTGATCATCCTCCTCTTGCCAATGTGCTGGGGAAATGAGTTCCTAATCTTTAACTGAAGCAAAAGTGGACTTTTTTTGTGGTGACATTTTTCAATTACAGCCAGCTTGGCAGGGCTCCTTGCTATGCGCTTTTAAAACACCGTTGCCTCGACCTTTATTTTATGACATTCTGAAAGCCGATGCAGATATATTATAGTAATAGAGCTGGGTGGTCTATGCTTAAATTATCATTTAATAAAACTGCTCTATGTTGCATGTGGTTGGGTTATGGCATTCTGAAATTGAGCCAATAACTCGAAGGTCCAGCAAGCCGGGTTTTATGGTTTCAGATCATCACAAACTGCTGTGGAATAGAACGTTACAAAACCAGCAAGACCACGCTTTTCAAATGCATTCGGCTGTCAAATAACATAATGCATGAAGAGTAACACAAATGCATTCTCAGCTGGGAAAATAAGAACACACGGTTCTGGACATTCAAAAGCACATTGATAACCACTGATATTTGGCGATGTACTAAAATAATGCATCGCCAAATATCAGAAGGAAGCATTTCATCTCAGTCCACCTAATCATAAACGTATTTGCTGTGCTTCCTCGTAAAAAAAGTTGCACAGCGGGTGCCGTCTCACAGATATTCAGTCTCAGTTTGTGGATGATCAACAAACCACACCCCTGAATTTTCTGAACTACAAGCATGCGCCACCACACTTGAATATGAAAACATACAAACCTCACCTGCAAAAAAAACGAGCATAAATATCTTATCTTGCAATAACCCAGCACAAAGTCCACCAAAGCCAAAATTCACCCACCATTTGATACCTGATGCTTGCATAATGTTTTTTCATTCGTTGTTATAGCTCTCTGATGAGTTTTCGGCAAGATGTCCAACGTTTCGCCCCATGTGCTGGGGAGAGCTGAGGCTCAACCAACATTCAAGAACTAGTGATGCCAGCAGCGGCAGGCAACGTATGTATGTATGTTGAACTTCTTTCGCACCATACGTAGCCAACCGTGCTAATTGGAGGTGCGGGGGAAGGACAATAAACTAAACACAAAAAGCAGTTCTAAAGAAATTAGCTGCTTAATCTATTTCCTGAACAAGCTCCCAGCACTTGGGCCAAAACATTGGACACCACACTGAATAACACACGATTCAAGCCGTAAAACAAATCGGGGAGAGCTATTAAACAGAACTGAAAAACCGACGTAGAGGTTTGCTCTTCAAACATAAGACTAACAAACAATGCACTCACATTCTTAAACCGAGGAAAAATTAAACCACAAGTAAATCTATTTCTGCACCAGATCAACAAGTAAAGCCCATAACGGAGCATTATTTCAGAACCTCGAATGGAAGAGAAAAACTAAATGAAACACTTCAATGGGGTCTGTCAAATGAAACGTGCACTGTCACAACAAATTACATTGTGCCCAATGTATCTGACACGAGGCAATTCTCATTGGTGCAGCCGCACGACCTATACATAACGGTAATATTTACGATGAGCACGTAACTTCTGTCAGAGCCATACTTCAGCCAGAGGAAGGTTGGCAAGGACAGCGGACCCCCACTCGAGTGGGCCAGACACGTGGAAGAGGAAGATACTTCAGCCAGAAGGACATTAACAACACCACTTCAATTTTGGCGGACATTGCCAACGAAGTTCAACATACACACAAAGTTCTTACCAGCCTTGTTTAAAAATGAATTGTTTCCAAGAACATTCATGGTGCGAGTACAGTATTAATTCTTCCCGTTTCCTCTCTCTATGTAGGATGACCAACCCGCACTAAACATTATAATAAAGTAGGATCATTACCCAAATGAAGACACACTTAAGCGGTTGCGCTTTCGCTACGTTGTCCCCACCTGAAGAAGGACGCTTGTGTTGCGCCCGAAACGTCGTGATTTAATTGAGTTGTTTTCATTGATTTTATTTTATTTTTTACCTACGTGACTTTACCGGAAAAAAACAAAGAGTATGAAGATAACAGTATAAATGAGTTTGTAAAAATTATCGCAAAAAAACCCCCATTCTTGAACAGAGCCTCGACCCTGAATCGTTATCGAATCGCTGGGCGGGAACGAGTGAATTATTTACACGCCAAATATTGTGAGCACTCGATAATTATCTTGACACGAGCGGACGAAGGCCTACTTAAAGAAGAAGCTACTCTATGAAATCATTAACATTTACAATCTCGCAACACTAATTTGTACGGATGGCGAAGGATTCACGGCAATGGGTATGTGTATGTGTGTGTCTTTGCCATAATTGCTTTGGTTGCAGTCCAATAACACGGGCTGCACGGGTTGCATCCACGGCTGCTTAGACTAATAAATCACAGTGATGGTTGACATACAATTTGACGCTTCTTATTCAACCAACATAGAAATAATTGCTTGTGGCTTTCAAGGTGACCCACTGGTAGAAAAAAAGCCATGCAAAAAAAACGTAAGCAAACGGCCTCCCTCCCTTCTCCACTCCCGACATTTTCCAATAAGCGTGACTTTGTCAGCCGTATAATCAAGCATCTGCCAGTGTACTGTGCAATGACAACCGCATGATAACACCTTAACCACCTTAACGGCGGCGATGAAGACACGGAACATTAAATTGGCATACTCGATAGGCATTCATTAATGCAATTTAATGCTGCAATTACTTCAATAGTGATGGGAATCAATATCGGAATAAACCAAAATTAACAGTGAATACTGAGTACTGCATTAACGATCAGGGCAGAAAGTTTGTGTCTAATAGTGATAAAAAACACCGAACGATTATGGTCATACATTCACGATGACAATGTTTACGGCAATAAATGAAAATTCATGACCCAGGGTGATTAAGGTGAGCGATGGCAGTGAGCACACCCGTTGATGGCGGTCAGTGTGAGATTGACGGACGGCAATGACATCGCTGGCACTCACTGGATCTTATCCTGAGGGTTGGGTTTGCGTCGGCCACTCTGTATCTGCACGGGGTCCAGCAGGGAGTGCTCCCAGATGGAGTTGGCGCCACTGGTCACAAGGGCCTGCACTGTCTGCACACACAGGGAGACAATGATCCTTCCATGAAGCCTTTTAAATACAGACGGTTCTGGCAAGTGCTGTTCGTGAGCACCTATTAAGGATGGCGTGGCACACAAGCGAGGAGGTGGTATGGACAGGACCACGCCCAGCCGCCCCATTGCTGATGTTGATTAAACACACACAAGATACTCATTTAAAGTGGCGTTGACCTGAGGGAGGCTCCACACTCTGGTTCAGATATCAAGAGCCACTGAAGTTAGCTGTGGCTGGGAATTTAATTCCGGTTGCTGGCTGTTTATAGGGCAAAGTGTAAATGCACAGCAAACACTGTGCAGTGGTGCAGTAACTTCTCAGGAGGGCGGGCAGGTTTTCGACCATGCTGTCAATGGGACGACTGCCATTATTGAGCATTATCTCGTGGTCGGAAAGCCCATTGGCTAACAATGAATGCGCAGTCAATTAGATGTTATTGAGCTCTGATTGGCTTAACTTGCACGTTTGGGGAAGTGGCAAGTCACCTGTACAGCCTGCAGAATTACCACCTTGATAGTTGGATTTTGAAAGTGTGGAGAGGGAATTGACTCATCTCCCCAGCAGGTGATTGAACGCTTGCTCACCATTGGTTGATTTTGAATGCTTTTCAAATTCAAGCAGCTGATTGGCTGAATAAAACGTGTGCAAAGTTCTGATTAGGAGAAATTGTCGACAGCCAGGTGCAACGGCTTAGAGTGGAGCTGCTCTCCCATTGGCTCGGGGCTGTGTATAAAAGCAGACACAGGAGGTGGATTATATCACCACCGCTAAGCCAATCGACAGGCGGCACTACCGGCGGTCGTCACAACAGCAGGAACAGGGAATGACGGCAAGCAAAGTCAACTCAACAGCCTGCTGGGGACTGCGAGGGATTATGCTGCAAGTGAAATCCTATCTATATATATAAAATCGTGAATCTGTGTGTGTGTGTCTCCGGACCATACGCACTTTCATTGGACGGCGGTTGCCCCTGGCAACGGCTAGCGACGCCTTCGCCGCTTTCATTGGACCTGGCAACGGCTAGCGACGCCTTCGCCAAGGGCTGCAGTTTCATTGGACGGCGGTTGCCCCTGCCAACCGCTAGCCACGCCTTCGCCACTTTCATAAGCTCCATAATTAATTAAATTATAGCCATTACACAGTATTGTTGGCGCGCTGGGGGGGGGGGGAAGGAACGCCACCCGTACCCTGCCTCTTCCAAGTCGACACTTTTAGGCGAGGCCGCAGGCTTTGCACGCTACTAGGCCTCGACACCCACCACGCCACTGAGGTAAATTCATCAAAGTTTTTCCTACTCTTCACTACACCCCCACCACAATGTGTGCTATTAATATTACTTTTAAACCCAACGCGCCAACAATCGATTACTTTAATGTTCACTGTACAAATACTCATTAAGCTGAGTGAGCATACTGACAGTCTATGTACACTGTAGCCTGCTTATTAAGCTCTGTGAGCGTACTGCCACTCATGTAGACTCTAGCCTGCTTATGAAGCTGAGTGGGTGTACTGGCAGTCTATAATGTAGACTGTAGCCTGGTTATTATAATCGATTCTTTAAATGTTCTTTGTACAAATAGTCATTAAGCTGCTTTAGCGTACTGCCCGTCTATGTAGACTGCTGCCTGCTTATTCAGCTGGCTGGGTGTACTGCCAGTCTATCATGTACACATTAGCCTGGTTAGGAAGTAAAGTTAGTCAATTTGTAACACGTACGCTTTCGCAAACATTATTCATAAACAACGTTATTGCGTTTAGATCGCCTTATTTATTAAGGTGTTGTCACCCTTATCCACCACCCGACACGCCCAATCTGCACAAAATTGTCACGTTCATAAAAGACTAAGACTTGACTGCTTTAGCCCACCGGTGTGTTCAAGCGGAAAACCACAACAATTACCATTTCTCATGAAAAAACTACTGTATAATTATGTTTAAACCCCACGCGCCAATAATGGATTTGTTTAAATGTTCACTCAACAAATACTCATTAAGCTGGCTGAGCGTACTGCCACTCTAGACTGTACAGTGTAGCCTGGTTATATTTCTGGGTGGCTGTACTGACAGTCTATCATGTACACATTAGCCTGCTTCTTAAGTAAAGTGAGTCTTTTTGTAACACGTACGCTTTCGCAACCATTCTTCAAAAATAACTTTATTGCCTTTCGCTCGCCTTAATTATTAATGTGTTGTAACCCTCCACCACCCCACACGGCCAATCAGTCAAAAAGTGTCCCGTTGATAAAACACTCACAAGTCTCTGCTTTGGCCCACCGGTGTGTACAAGCGTAAAACCACAACAATTCCCATTTCAGAGTACGTCCTTTCGCTGATGCTGGATGCAATTACCAGCCAAACGTCGTACTGTTCAGTTGTCTGTCCATCTGTGTACGATCGCTTGCGAGGGATTTGCCGGGAGGCACGTCCCGTGCCCCGCGATGGGAATACGCATGTCACTGTATGTGTGTCTGCAGCAAGCGCGTGTATGTGTATCTATGGACGCGCGTGTGTGTAGGGGGAACGGTAGTGTAGTGGTTAGCGTGCTGTCTGTGTCTGTGTGTGTGTCTGTCTGTGTGTGTCTGCGTGTGTCTGTGCGTGTGTGGTGTGTGAGGAGCGGTGGGTGTAGTGGTTAACGCTACGCTGCGCTACCAACCCGGCGAACCCAGTTCGATTCCCGCTCACGGCCACCACCGGTGACGATTATTTGAACCTCCCCTAGGTCGACTCTGCCTCAAACGAGTAACTGGTGTGGCGTATTAACATCGCCACTGGGGAGACAAAGGCGGCCGGCCGTGGTGGATACAAGTCCCGGGCGAAGCCGGGTAGTACAGCTAGTACTAATATAATATGCTGTACACACAATGGTCCTTGGTGTAATCGGGACACCCCTGTGGCCGTCGGGACCCGAGTGATACTGGCGTGTGGCCAAGATGAAGTCCAGGGCATCGTAGGTGCATGGTGGAAGCAAAAGGGGTGTGTCGCTTGCAACACCCTATGCCAAGGAGTAACTTATTTTCCATGGCAGGATGGAAAAACTAATTTTAAACTTAAGAGTTAAAATGAAGCCTTTCCAACCAACCCCAAGGTGACGAAGTCGGAGGAGAACATGGCAAACCTGCTTGTGAGTTTCCTGCTACGTGCGAAAGCACCATGACAAATGTCGTCAGATCTGCTCCCCACTGCCCGACGACTGTGCCTTGGCCTGAACAACAGGAAGTTTAATTGCATACGCTACCAAAACTTGTGGAACGGAACCCTTTGTGGCTGGGGCTCAAGGATTGGACAACTGCTGGATGGTGTGGAGGAGTTGTCTCAAGCCGATTGCTGAGGTGGCACGAGGTTGTTATCTGGTGGAGGTGGGTGTGAGTGCCTGTTGATAACACTGGTCACACTTTTTCTGGCATAATGTATTCCAATGGTTTTAAGATTATTTTGGGGTGCTGATTCCAAATCTGGCATCAGTTTTTGTCTCGCATCAGGTTTTTGAGATATCAAATATTGCATTTTCAATAAAAACTGCAGAAGAAAAATATTTAATAAATGTGGATATATATCTACATAAAATGATATAAACACTATCCTAAAAATACAGCACCATATTTTAACACTAAAGCAGTCACTGACTGGCAACAACTTGCAATCATAAGTGACAGTGTTAATTTCGGGTAAAATCAATGAAAATGGGGTATGCCGATAGCATAAAATGAGATGTGATAGAGCAAATCTGAGATCAGATTGGGAATCGGCACCCTGAAATTAGTCAAACAGCTGCAAAAGTCCAGGCCAGAAAAAAATGTTTGTTTGTTGACCAGTGTGTAATAATTGACATCTATGAAAGCCACGAGTTTCAGGACTTTTTTTTGGAGGATCCTGCATATTTTAGGCACTTGCTGCTAGTAAGCGGCTACTCGTGCGTATGCATGCACAGGGATTGGTGTCCCACTGCTGAAATGAAGGAAAAGCTCCTTTGACACTACCAGCAGAAAAGTGCCATTTTTTTAAAGCACCCAGACTTGTCAATACCTGCCACCAAGAAAGATTTTGAACTTAAAAAAAATCGAGGCCACTGACATACAAATTGCCCTTCAAGTTTGTATTTAATGGCTCTGTCAATGGGTTTCAAAGCACGTGTACCATCGATGCTTTTCACCTTAAAAGCAATCTGGCTAAATCGTCTTGTATTGTATTTGGAGGTGTAATCCACAAAACTAGGTCGGTACCTCTTAATTATACTGTGGGGAGAATAAGATGGACCCGATTCTTGCATGTCTTGGATCATATTTGGCAATTTATTAATGAAAACAGATTGGAGTATACAGACATATATTTGGGTGCAAACTATTTAATTCGCACTTAAACTTTGGTGTTATGAAACTAATGGGTTGGTACAGAATTGACTGGTGGCAGTGGTTATTGCAGTGCACGATGAACCGAATGACCTGCGCTCGATTCCCAGCCATGGATATAATCTGCGGCAAATAATATTGGAAGTGAATCTGGGCCCCGTGACCCACCCCATATTGACCAGCATGGTGAAGTATGGTGTGACAACCCCCATAACCAACGTGGCTATAGAGGGGGGCCTTCATCGTTCTGTTACTTGACAAAGGGCTCTACATTACAAATGAATACGGTTCCCCCTCTCCACATGAATGCTAAAATGTATTTCATGATTTGAGACCCGTTAACCAGCAGGCTTTTTCAAAGTGCATAACTCTAGAGCAGATTTGTCTGAAGACCCATGCTGTTCATTTACCAGATTATTGACATGTGCCATCTCTACAGCGTGGGCCATCCATGTAATGGACAACACGAGTGCGGTACTGGAATATTATATGGGCGATAAAACATTGCGACTATAATAAGCCAAGAATGTGTCCCGCGCCTGACGTCACTCCACATGAGGCCCACCCCCCTCATTAATATTCACGAGTGGGTGGATTTTTACACGAACGCAGAGGAAGGTCGAGCAGAATTA